TTTCGGAAGTTAGTTTTAATATAAAATTATAATGATGCGCCATCTAGTTTCAAAAACGTTCTGATGATGAAATGAGATATCTCAGTCAACCAGTCAAGGTCAGCACATGGCAACCAGAGATATGTGGGGAATAACACAGGACAGGTAAGTGGGTTTTTTCAAAGATTCATTTGTTAAAATTCGATTTAGCAACATTTGCTTTTCAAACTTCCCAACGAGCAACACATGCACAAATCTTGCACTACTGCCTGTTTGTAGAGAGTGTTGCCATTTTGTATTTTATTCTGACTCAGTTCTTGGTCCAGAATACCTACAAGTCTGGTTTTTTTTATGCACATATGATTTGGGCACTTAATACTCTGTGCCTAAAATTGCAACTCCTGACATGTACTCCTTCATACCTCTAAGCTGGTAACCCAGCTGGCAGTATGATTTTATAAACAAAACATAGTCTTGTCAAAATTGCAAAGAATCAAACAAAATTTTTTACAAATAAGCCTTGAAATGTCATCTGTCAAAATATATAATGACAATACAATTTAGAATGAAATTGGTGGGTAAAAATACAACTAATCCCTCTGGTGGTAAAAAACAAAATTACTTTCAAAACAACCCAATACATTGCCATACTTTGTTGACCTATTCAGTCTCAGATTTATTGCCCATTGAACATTTATAAGATCAGATTCCTAACTTCAACCATACAAGTATACCTCGTCTTACGTCAGTAATTGGTTCCAGGAGAGATGATGTAAGTCGAATTTACTTGTCACTAGGCTAAACCACAAATACCATTCCCAGTTCTGTAATGTATTTATAAATGCATTTTTAATAATATATGATTAATAAGAATCTATTTTAAGCTTACAAACAAATAAATTTTAGTTTTTAATATAGTACAGGGAAAAAAAGTAATCTAAATTTATGAATACATGTACAGTATGTACATACTTGTAAAAATATACAGTATGTTTACAATTTGGCGATGTTTACAGTACATTGTGGAATCTTTATTTGTGAATGTGGTTTGCTCTAAGACATTATAAAATAAGATGATTTTGTAATGTTAAATAACAAATACAGTTATTAAAATTATTTTGCAATAGTAAAAAATAAACTAATTTATATTGAATTTACCAATAATGAGTGGCGCTGACAATGACACCAAACAGTATATATTGGAACTACCATGGAAAATGCCAATATTGAGCTCTTAAAGACCACTAAATAAGATGACAACACATACAGTAATACCTCGACTTACGCTATCCCCGACTTATGCAAACCTGGAGTTACGTGATTATCAAATCTCATCAATTTGTCTTTTATTGGAGCGCCATGCAACTCTTAATTACTCACTCCCCCCCACACTATTCTTCAGCTTACATGTTCGGACGTGTCACGCAGAATTTACACATAGCTACAATTTATTTTGTGTTATTTATTTCTGTGTTTGTTATATCTATGGAGACTTGAGAGACTTTATATGATTTCTTGCAACCGTGAACGAATCAAAAGACGAGATAAGATTAATGAGAACATTTATTAGCTTACATACATCCGACTTGGATTTTATACAAATTGCGAAATTATACTCCGACTTACGCGAATTTGACTTAAGCAGTTATCGCTCGGTCCCACCTATCGCGTAAGTTCGGGGTATTACCATAGTCACAGATGTTTTCATATTTCGTTCTCTACGATTTATGACGATTATATTAACATNATTTCGGAAGTTAGTTTTAATATAAAATTATAATGATGCGCCATCTAGTTTCAAAAACGTTCTGATGATGAAATGAGATATCTCCAGTCAACCAGTCAAGGTCAGCACATGGCAACCAGAGATATATGGGGAATAACACAGGACAGGTAAGTGGGTTTTTTCAAAGATTCATTTGTTAAAATTCGATTTAGCAACGTTTGCTTTTCAAACTTCCCAACGAGCAACGCATGCACAAATCTTGCACTACTGCCTGTTTGTAGAGAGTGTTGCCATTTTGTATTTTATTCTGACTCGGTTCTTGGTCCAGAATACCTACAAGTCTGGTTTTTTTTATGCACATATGATTTGGGCACTTAATACTCTGTGCCTAAAATTGCAACTCCTGACATGTACTCCTTCATACCTCTAAGCTGGTAACCCAGCTGGCAGTATGATTTTATAAACAAAACATAGTCTTGTCAAAATTGCAAAGAATCAAACAAAATTTTTTACAAATAAGCCTTGAAATGTCATCTGTCAAAATATATAATGACAATACAATTTAGAATGAAATTGGTGGGTAAAAATACAACTAATCCCTCTGGTGGTAAAAAACAAAATTACTTTCAAAACAACCCAATACATTGCCATACTTTGTTGACCTATTCAGTCTCAGATTTATTGCCCATTGAACATTTATAAGATCAGATTCCTAACTTCAACCATACAAGTATACCTCGCCTTACGTCAGTAATTGGTTCCAGGAGAGATGATGTAAGTCGAATTTACTTGTCACTAGGCTAAACCACAAATACCATTCCCAGTTCTGTAATTTATTTATAAATGCATTTTTAATAATATATGATTAATAAGAATCTATTTTAAGCTTACAAACAAATAAATTTTAGTTTTTAATATAGTACAGGGAAAAAAAGTAATCTAAATTTATGAATACATGTACAGTATGTACATACTTGTAAAAATATACAGTATGTTTACAATTTGGCGATGTTTACAGTACATTGTGGAATCTTTATTTGTGAATGTGGTTTGCTCTAAGACATTATAAAATAAGATGATTTTGTAATGTTAAATAACAAATACAGTTATTAAAATTATTTTGCAATAGTAAAAAATAAACTAATTTATATTGAATTTACCAATAATGAGTGGCGCTGACAATGACACCAAACAGTATATATTGGAACTACCATGGAAAATGCCAATATTGAGCTCTTAAAGACCACTAAATAAGATGACAACACATACAGTAATACCTCGACTTACGCTATCCCCGACTTATGCAAACCTGGAGTTACGTGATTATCAAATCTCATCAATTTGTCTTTTATTGGAGCGCCATGCAACTCTTTATTACTCACTCCTANCAATGAAAGTAACCTTTCATTGTTCTACAGAAAATAATCCTTTTGCTATGATATTATAATCACTTATTAATTTTATAATTACTTTTGCACTAATAAATTTTCATTCAATTTCAATGCCTTCTTTTTTGCTATGTAATTTTTTTGGTCAAAAAGTATATAAATAGCAAAATGAAATCTGTTTTATAAATCAAAAATGTACATCTCACTATCTGCAACAGATCACAAACATTGATAAGAAATTTTGGTTTACAGATACTCCTTTGAAAACTGATTATTTCTAATTTTCAAGATTATTCAAAATAATTTTTTTTTTTGACAAAATTTTCAAACAGCTTTATTAATTTTTACATTTTGTTGTCCTATTATTTTATAATACTATTTTTCCATTATTACTAAAGCATGAAGAAATATATATAAGAAAGTAAACAATTTGAAAGTATCTATACAATAAATTTTTACTATAAATAACTTTAAATAAAAGTATATTACAAATATACAATTATTATAAATTTCTATTTAAAAGGCAATACAATTATTTGTTTGTATTTATTATACAGTATATAAATTTTAAAATATATTCTTTCAAAGTTTTGTATTGATTTATAAATTGTAAATTTACATATAAGAAAATATAAAAATTATTAAATTTTAGTTCTTAATTCTAATCTGGTTAAAATAATTTGTATTTAAAAACATTTGAATCTTTGCATTCCATAATTGGAACTCAAGTGATCCAAAACCTGAGGCAGATCTTGATTAAGATTGAAAACATTTGTTCGTTTGTGTATTATTTCTTACCAGAATTAAAGGTTTAACAGTGGTGTTGACATGTACTGTACTAGTTTGAATGAAAATTACTATAAATACACACACACACACAAAGCAAATTTACATCACATCTGCCCTGGAAATTTGATATTACAGTCAACGCACTTTAATATGAATCACTAGGGGAACAGTAGTTAGTTCAATTAATCAATAATTCATATTAACAATTTTCATGGTCATATAATTTAGGGTGTTAATGCTTATTAAGCAATCGAAATCTCTAAATTATAATATTTTCAATTAATTTACTAAATAAAGTTAAATAAAATTAAATTCATTTACAAAAACAAATTTATGTTCTAAATGTTTTTCAAATCAAACAAGATGGAAGAGGAGGCAGTATTTGCCATTGAAGTGTGGAGCAGTATATTAGAATGGTTAAACAAAACAAAGCTAAAAGAAATCAGTTATTTTTTTTCTGTTAAAGATTAATCACTATATGCACTTTCCAATATGCAAACTAGCAGATGAATAGAAAAAGAAAAAATTAAAAAGGGTGTGTGTCCTTAAAACTTTAACTCCTATTTTCTGAGTATGTAGAATGGTTTGCTAAAACCAGATGTTTGAATTGCTCTACAATCAGAGGTAAAACCCATCTTTGCTTACTAGGAAAAGAAAATCTATTCTACCCAAAATGAAACATCTATTACAGTACCACTTTAATTGTTCAAAATATAAACAACTTTACTAAACCTGATACATTGCAATAACACACCAACAACTGCCATAAATCATGTGCTATAATTTGACTGATGGCTGACTGATTGTCTTGTGTGGGAGTTTACAAGATGAGGGCACTGAATGCTTTCCCAGTCAGCACCATAGTAACTGATAATGTTTATATCGTAATGATAAATATACTGGAAGAGGAGACAGACCGAAGTTCTGAGTAGTGTAACTGGCAATTCATTTGCACAGTAAGTGGCAGTTGCAGGTTTGAATCCTGCTCCAGGATGATTCTTTTCTTCCAGTTTAGTCTAAAATTATTTAATTAATTAAAAATTATAATTATTAAATTTAATACGAGATGGCACCTAACGCCTCCCTCTAGAGCCAAATTTATTTGTAATATATTATTATTGCAAAACCATAGCCCAATCATTTATAGCAGTTGTTGGTCTGTTTTATTGTTCACTTTAAAAAGTGTAAAAAGCAACCATTATTGGAAATAAAGTTATTTCTTGAGAGTTGTGAAGGTAATTTACATAAATAACAACATTCAAAGCCCGAATAGTATATCTACTAAACTGCTGAACGATCGCCTAAATATTGGGCTATTATATGTCTAATTAAATGATTAGAATAAAGTAATTTGTCATTAGAGGTAAGCGTTAGGCGCCATCTCTTAAGTAAATTAATAATTAAAATTAAATAAATAAATTATTAAATTAATTTTAGAATTTTCTGGAATAAAAGAACTGGCCCGGGACGGGGCTTGAACCCGCAACCTCCGCTTGCCGTGCGGTGCGCTTGCCAGTTACGCCACCCAGAGCAAGTCTTCGCTTCCAGAAATATATTAGATTAGATATAACCTTACTTGGTTAAATACATTAAATACATCACTGACTGGGGATGACTTCATCGCCCACGACCCCAATGGCACTCAGCCAGCTAACGTAACACCCGGCGAGGTATATATATATAAATAACAACATTCAAAGCCCGAATAGTATATCTACTAAACTGCCGAACGATCGCCTAAATATCTGGCTATTATATGGCTAATTAAATGATCAGAATAAAGTAATTTGTCATTAGAGGTAGGCGTTAGGTGCCATCTCTTAAGTAAATTAATAATTAAAATTAAATAAATAAATTATTAAATTAATTTTAGAATTTTCTGGAATAAAAGAACTGGCCCGGGACGGGGCTTGAACCC